AATACTGAGTGCATTGTCATACATGAACACTATTTTTATTTTTATTTTTTTTGGTTTTTGAAGACAGGATTTCTGTGTGTAGCTTTGGTGCCTTTCCTGGATCTCACTCTGTAGACCAGGCTGGCCTTGAACTCACAGAGATCCGCCTGGCTCTGCCTCCTGCATACTGCAATTAAAGGCGTGCACTTGAGAAGCTGAGGCTGAAGGATAGAGAACTCAAGTCTGGGGCCACAGAAGGGACCCTGTCATGAACAATCAAAGATAGAGCTTTCTAGACATTCTGATGGAGAAGTGGAGAGAATACACATTGCTTCCTAACAAAATCCCAGAGGTGGACCCTCGTACCCTTTTCCTTTAGGAATCACGGGACACCTTACAATGCTATCCCTGTGACAGACATGTGGCCCAGATACTAAGAACTACTAAACCATCACAGATACAACATCTCCTATCACCTCAGCTTTGGATTACATTAGTTGCTGATTGAAAAACAAAAATGGGACCTTGAACCACAAGGTCTTAAGCATCCTTGTAAAAATACGATGTACATCCTAGAGAAGGTGTGAGGGACAAAGCCCAGCTCCATGGAGTCTGATGATTTCACAAATCATTTCTTTTTAACAGTTTCAGGCACGATGCTAAGAGTTCTACTTGTTCACTATGGATGCAAATATTTCCCCCTTAGGAAGAACTCATGGCAATCCTTCTGCCTCCGTCTCCCTATAGAGTCTGAGAGAGACTGACAAAACTTGAAGAACACAGATTGACCAGGGCCTCACCTTTGTTCTCCCAGGACTGCTCGAGCACCAAAATACCTTTTCAGTTCTGTATCTGGATTCAAGTGTCTGAGGAGGAAGTTTAGAAAGAAAAATTATGTTCTACAATAACTCTAAATTTTTATAAAGTTTAAATTTTTATAAATTCACAGAAGGATATAATAGGGAACTTGGCATGGTGGTGCAAGCCTGTAATCTCAGTACTTGGAAGGCTGAGAAAGGAGGACCAGGAGTCCCAGCCAGCCTTGAGCACACCGTGAGACCCACTCTCAGAAAGCTGGCAACAACCTCTGTGGTGGGAACTATGTCACATTTCACTGAGGATCTGTAAAACCAACATATGGATACTTATCCAAATGTGAACTGGTGCTCTACACAGTTCAAGAATCCAAGATATATAAAGCTAAAAGTCCTCTGAAATATGGATGAGGGTTTCTTCTTCCTCATTGATTTGTTTTGAGGCAGAGTGTCTCACTCTGTAGCCCAGGCTGTCCTTGAACTTGTGGCACTTTTTCTGCCTCAACCTAATGAGTGCTAGGATTACAGCATAAGCCACCATACCCAGCACTACAGTGCTTCATTTTGTTTTTACAGGGATCAAACGTGAAGCTCGTGGCACAGGGGATGGGATCGGGGCATTTCATATGCTGGGTGCACATTCTACCACTACACTGCGTCCCTACACCTTACCCCTTTACAAAAAATACAGAACAATTCCTTCTCTGCATTCATCTTATGCAGCCCAGGCTGGCCTTGCATTCCCAGTTTCCTGTCTCCACGTCCCAAGTGCTGGGACTGGGATTACAAGTGTATGTCTGTCACCAGGCCTGACTGAAGAAAAGACGGTCAATTTTCCTCTGTTTTTTTTTTTCAAATACCGTTCTTCTCTCATGAAGTGAGGGCAGGGCTGTACCTGTGCTCCACATAGAGGACATGCTTCCTGGAATTCAGTGGAGGGGGGCCTGGGTGGATGACCCCACTGCTGTCTTCAATCCTCTCTAAGATGCGATCAATATCTTCTAGCCCATTTTCCTAAAAGACAGAACAACCTGTTAATCATTACAGTGACTTTCACTGCTAGGATTCTAGGCACGTACCACCATACCTGGCTCTGACTTCACTTTCAATATTAGAACCATCAGCGACAGAATCATTTACGTTGAAAAAGAATGATTATATTGATTTACTTCCTAAAAGACATGATCGTATGCTGCACATACATTCAGAAAGGAGACATGTCTCACTAGAGAAAGCCAGGAGAGCTGGGATCACAGACTCAGAGGGCCCTGGAAATCATAAGCTAACACACCACATTATGTCCTCTAGAGGAGCTTCCCTCCCTGGGTAAGCTGAGTCATGACCCTTAACTGGAGAGTAACAGAGCTTTGGCTTTTTTCAGAGCTGAGAGTAAGACATGGGGCAGAGGCAGCGACAGGGCGGGACCATCTGGTAACAGGTCCACAGCGGCGCCTGCGCTCACGGTGAGCTTACGCCGTCAGGGTGAGACGAAAGCAAGCTGAGCAGGGAAGAGATTTAGAAGAAACACTCACCTCAAAACACAGAACCCAGGAGTGGGGTCTGACAACCAGAGAGCAAGGGGCACAAGCCAGAGAGACCTGTGAGTGGTTTTCCCTTTTGTTCTCCTGACCTCTCAGCTACACTTCAGTGAAAGCAACCAAAGCGCTCAACCAAACAAAACTTTCTCCAGAACCAGCCTGAGGGAGCAGCAGGGAACAGAGAGGCTCAGGCAGAGGAACCAGTCAGTGTGACAACATACCGAGGATTCTCCTGTGCAGCTTTTCTTATTTTTCTGCTTCTTTTTCTTCTTTCGGAGTTTGCCACTCGCATTAGACTAATGGAAGGAGACATTTTAATCAATGGAAAGAAATGAAATTGGAAACATTAAGAACTATGCAACAGCCAGGCGTGGTGGCACATGCCTTTAATCCCAGCACTTAGGAGGCAGACACAGGTAGACGTCTGAGTTTGAGGCCAGCCTGGCCTATATAGAATTCCAGGCTAGCCAGGGTTATATGGTGATACGCTGAATTAAAAACAAAATAAAATAAAAATGTAAGCAACAAGTTCAATCCTCAGTGTGGCAGTCCCATTCCTCCTCCTCCATCCTCAAGTCTTTCCAATTCTCTCGGGTTTCTGCAGTAAGAAACACCTGCCGTGTCTGTGCCAGTGACCATGGCCTCTCTCGTGCCCTGCCCTGATGTGCCTCAGGGCTTCCTGTGGCCTACAGTAGACACAGCTCACAGGACCACCCAGCCACCTGACCACTGCCACTCTTTCTTCCTTTTGCCATCCATTCCCTGTTGTACCCCACCTACCCTGAGGACGGGGACTCACCGAGCCGGGTGCCTCAGTGAGCCCTACCCCTGCTCTCTTGCAATACCTACTGCAGCCAAGTCCTTCTGTGAGAATTCAGGCTTCACCAGACTGAATTTTCTGATCAGACACAGACGCACTCGAAAGAGGCAGGTAGACACTCTATGTGGTACCCTTGAGGCTACTACTAGTCTTCAGATTTCCACAGAAACCTCATCCAGGTTCCTTGGGGCAACCAAACAATTGATGGACTCAAACTCAGAAGAATTCAGTAAACTGGAGTACAGGAAATATTTGCAGCACCTTGGGGCTTCCCCTCTGACATGCCTCAGTCACCCCATCACCATACGGTCCCCTGTACCTGTTCTGGGAACCCTGCCTTGGCCACATCCCCATCTTGCTTCGTCTCTGAGTTTCCACGCTGAGCCCTTCCTTTGTTCCCTGATGACACAGAGTCCGGCAGGGTACAGTCAGACTTCTCCCCATTTACCACAAGGTCATCCTCAAGATCCTCGATGTTTATCTGGAGGAAAAAGACAGGAGGGAAATGAAAGCAACTGAGCACCCCAGTCCAGGGTACATGGACACACTACACAGGTAGAAATGGAGAGGACTCTGAATGGGCTCAGGGTGGGGTAGTGAGAAGGAAGGAGCATTTGATTCATGTAGCACCAGCACAATCCTCAGCTTGTGAATGACTTCTGGCTCCATCAGTGCACCCAAGATATATGAATGATGCATGGCATCTTCATCTCTGGGCATGACATTCAGAATCCCCAAACCACAATGACCCCATTTACTGAGTGCCTCCCAAAGGCATAAATTTTTTTATGTTTATGGGTATTTTGCCTACATGTATGTATATGCACCACATGAAAGTCTGGTGCCCATGGAAGTCAGAGGAGAATGTCATATCCCCTGGAACTGGGCAATTATGAGTCACCATGTGATTCTCTGGAAGAGCAGCCAGTGCTCTTAACCACTGAGCCATCTCCAGCCTCAATAAACGATTAACTCTGTTAGTCTTGCCAGACAAGGTACCACAATGCCTGTAACAGGCTGCTAAAAGAGAAGTTACTTTCTGAATTGGTCTAAGGAAGTCAGCATAACTCTTCATTCTAGGGAGTGATTATGTACCTAGAAATCAGGAATAATGGCTGTCTGTGTATAGACAGAAGCAAGCAGGCATCTGGAAACATCACAGATATTTTCCTTTTTCATTGTTGAAAAACTCTCACAAATAGAATGCTAACACATTCTTTTTTCCTCACAGAAATATTCACTATGCAAACCTTGCTAAAGATACCTCACCAGGCTGGAGGACAAAAAACAATGAAAATGGGCTAGAGGAAGAGTTTAGCAGTTAAGAGTACTGGCTGAGCCGGGCCGTGGCGGCTCATTCCTTTAATCCAAGCACTCGAGAGGCAGAGCCAGGCGGATCTCTGTGAGTTCGATGCCTGCCAGCCTGGTCTACAGAGTGAGTTGAGATCCAGGACAGGCACCAAAACTACACAGAGAAATCCTGTCTCAGAAAAAAAAAAAATTTAATCCCATCCAAATAAAGACCTGGCCTTTGAGCAGTTAACATCTAAGCATCTGGTCATTCTCCACAGTAATGTCTTCTTCACTGGGGATTCAAACCACACTGCCCAGAGGATTTACAGGGGCCCTGAGGCCAAGTCAGATGGTAGCAACATGATCTAATGTGGGTGTCCTCCTGAAGCCCTACAGATCTAGGTCAACCATGTGAGCTATAAAGTAATGCCCCTTCAAGTGAACCCCACCAATATACTGTGGAACCAGTTCATCTTGTAACCCCTGATGCCAAAAACAAGACAAAAAACCTGAACATGGAAACTCAGGTCAACATTGCTTCTGGTACGCCACTGTATACAATGTCCCCTGCGGTACGTTGTAAGAACCAAATGAATTCTCTATTTCTCACTATTTACTAAACCTGGAAGGCGGCCTTGAGAACCCCTACAGTTAGAACCAGAGTCAAAAGGGCAGTCATGTGAATTTTCCCCTCATACTCTCCAGCTGTGAGGGAGAAATATGCTCATTCAGGTTTGTAAGAGGTTAGTGAAAGATTTACATATTGTTCTAATATAATAAAATTACTGTGATGTGCAAAGCTTTAATCCCAGCACTTAGGAGGATAGGCAGGAGGATCTAGCATGTGTAAGACCTGGATTCAATCCCCATCACTGCAAAGCAAACAACAGGTACATATACCACTACTCAGCAGTAAGGAAGAACAAACCATGAATACTTAAAACTGTAACTCTCAAGAGTATGTTCTGAGCAAGGGGCCAGGACAAGTGAGCACACACCAGATGTGTAGAGCATGAACAAGTTACACAGCTGGAAATGGCAAATCCAACCTAAATGCTTCAAGTACACATACTTTATTATATAACTTGAATAAGTTGATTTCGTTTACTTTTCTTTCTTTCTTTTTTGAGGCAGGGTCTCACTATGAAGTCCTGGCTGGCCTGGAACTTGATATATAGGTCAAAATGTCCTCTAACTCAGAAATCCTCCTGAACGCTGAGATTCAAGGTATGTGCTACCATGTTCAGCAATAAATTGATTTTTAAAATTCTTCTGACTGAAATGGTAAAGATGATTTCTAATCTAGTCAGGAGTGGCCCCAGGCCATCTTTTACCCTGCTTCCTTCTCCAAAGAGGACATCATCAGCCCCTAAGACTATAGCCAAGTAAACCACTTACAGTAACGTGTTTCTAGAGTTTGTTTGTCCCCTTCCATTTCCAACAGCACACATCTACATGGGTTCAGTGCTGACCCCGTGCCCAGCATGTTACACACTGCCTCCATGAGTTTATGCAGTCTTCATGACAGCCCTATGAGTTATCAAGAGCATGCCCAAAACTTGCATTCGGTATCTTGTCCAAGCTCTCAACTATAAAAAGGGACAGCCAGGATACAGGTCTAGGTTCATCTGACTCTACACTCTTGCATACACGCTTAAAGTAATTTGTCTTATTAAAATCAGCACAGATTGGTACGCATGCTGGGCGCCTGACACTATTCTGAGTACCATCGACACATCAGTGAGCAACAAAGTCTGTTTCCAAGAAACTCATATTCCAGCAGTGGAAGACATGAGCACACACACAAAAAGAATAGTATAGTGTGTTTGGTGGTAACTGCCAGGAGGAAAGGAAAGAAAACGAAAACAAAAACAAAACAGAATACAAGGAATGTGACTGAGGATGGTTATAATTTTAGTCAGATGGTAAGGGTAGACACAACAGATTAACACCTAAGCAAGTCCATGGGAGGTGAGAGTAAGTCTTATGTGAGTATCTCAACAAAGGGAACTGCAGCCAGAGGGGGAGGCAAAGGGAGGTCAGGGTGGCTGGAACACAGTGAGCAAGATTAGAAAAGACAAGGTCGGGGAGAACCGTCTTGCCCAAGCCTGGCTCCTGACAATGGCTGGGAAAGGAGAGCTATCAGCTGTGTACTCAGAACAGCGTGTAGGGGAACAGCAGCAGCGATGAAGTCTCCCTGTGCACCTGGAGGTGAAGACGGATAAAGGGGCCTCACTCCGCCCCCAGGCACGTTAGACAATGTTAAAATCGGTTAGAATCACTATGGATGTTAATAACGGTTTCAAATTCTGATGTTAATTTCCCTATAACTAAGCAAAGGCTTTGGAGGATGGAGCATTTTGATTCTCTAATAGGCAATTGTTGGATTCTTCCCCAGCTGCCTTGAGGAAAAGAACTGTCCATCCAACAGTAAGGCAGACTATCCATATTCAATATTCCTTGAACCATTCCAGAGGCCTTGAAAAAAAAAAAACTACACTATGATCACAGCTGATTGTACAGGCTCCTAAAGGTGCAGCCTCAGAAATATTGCTTCAGTTTGTATCTGACTTTTACTAATCACAAGCCTTGGTTGATTTGTAGGTAGGTGATCCCCCCAAATCCAACTCTTCAGGAAAAGCAACAAGGATTCTTAAGTCACTTCTCCAGCCCCTTTTCTTGCCTATTTAGTAATGTGGGCTAAGCCAGTAATACAGAGAAAGAAGCAGCTGAGCAGTGAGCAGCCTGGGACCCCCAAGTGGCAAGGCATCCGCCGCTGCCACCTCAAAGAGGCAGGTGAACAGCTTGAGAGTGGCAGGAGCACAGGGAGGCTGAAGGTAGAGTCATAAAGAGTCAGGGAGAGAAAACGCAAGCCCTGATCACCAGAGGAAGAGGTCCAAGAACTATAAAATCTTTAGGGCCAATGGTCTCAGATACCCACGGTCTGAGAGCTAACACCAGTTGCTGTCAAGGGAGGAAGACTCATGTAAGAGTGAACGATGTGATGCCTGAGATCTGCTTTGAAATCACTTCTTGGAGAGAAAGGAGTGAAATTATTTTACAGACATGTAGACTGACTGAATGTCAGTAACTGGGAACTGGGCCATGGGCACATAGGGTTATTTATATTTCCCCTTTTTAAAATTTTTTTTATTTATAAGATAAAGCCACCGTGATCCTGCTTCTTTTAAGATGGCACCATTAACGCTTTATCGTGTTTCTTTTTAAGAATATTTATTTTTATGTGTATGGATGTTTTACCTGCCTGTATGACTGTGTACCATGTATGTACATGCAGTGCCCACAGAGGAGGGAGGAGGGTGTCAGGTCCTCTAGGACTGGAGTTACAGATGGTTGTGAACCACTAAGTGGGTGCTGGGAATTGAAGCAAGATCCTTTGGAAGAGCAGTCAGTGCTCTTAACTGCTGATCATCTCTCCAGCACATATATCCCTATGTTTCATGTGTTTAAAATTAAACCCAGCCAGGTGGTGGTGGCGCACACCTTTAATCCCGGCACTCTGGAGGCACAGACAGGCAGATCTCTTAAGTTCCAAGAGAGCCAGGACTACACAGAGAAACCCTGTCACAAAAAGAAAAAACAGCCTTCCGGTGGTGGCATATGCCTTTAATTCCAGCATTTGGGAGGAAGAGGCAGACGTATCTCAGTGAGTTCAGAGCCAGCCTGGTCTACAAAGCAAGTTCCAGGACAACCAGGGTTGTTACACAGAGAAACCTTATCTTGAAGCGGGATGGGGGCTGGGGGGTGGGGGGACGGGAATGGATGATGATGAGCCAAGCAGCATCGACGGCCCAGGCCTTTAATCCCAGCACTCGGGAGTCAGAGCCAGGTGGATCTCTATGAGTCCGATGCCAGCCTGGTCAACAGAGCGAGATCCAGGAATGACACCAAAACTACACTGAGAAACTCTGTCTCGAAAAACAAAACAAACAAACAAAAAAGCCAAAAAAAAATTAAAATGAAGGGACAAGAAACAG